ATTTTATGTAGAGACAGGGTCTCTCCACATTGTCCAGGCTGGTCTTGAACTCCTGGACTCAAGTGATCTGCCTGCCTTGGCCTCCCAAAGTGCTAGGATTACAGGCATAAGCCACTGCACCTGGCCCATAGGGAAATTTTTTAATTTTTAATTTTTAATTTTTGAAGAAATAAATTTTTTTTGAGACAGGGTCTCGCTCTGTTGCCCAGGCTGTATAGTGCAATGGTGTGATCACAGCTCACTGCAGCCTTGAGCTCCCTGGGCTCAAGTGATACTCACTCCCACCTTAGCCTCCCAAGTAGCTGAGATTACAGATGTATGCCAACATGCCTGGCTAACTTTTTTTTTTTTTGTAGAGATGAGGTTTTGCCATGTTGCCCAGACTGGCCTCAAACTCCTAGGCTCAAGCATTTTGCCCAGCTTGGCCTGACAAAATGTTGGGATTACAGGTGTGAGCCTGTAATCACACCTGAACCCAGCCAGGAAATAATTTTTAAAAAGGGAAAAAAATCCATGTGTACAAAGCTATTTACTGAATAAAAACATCTCTAAAATAGAAAAAAATTCAATAAAGGATTAATGTAAACATTGGTACACTGATCCAACAAAATATGCAGTCATAAAGTAACACACAAAAGTTTGCAATATTAAACATAATATAAAAACTATGTTAAAATCACAAATGATTAATACATGTTGATATATAGATAAGTCAAGAAGTCAAAGTTGATCACGTTGGGCATTTTAAAATTATGGATGATGCGAAAATTTGTCTTTAAAATTGTTTTTACATACATTTAATAATATCAAAATACATAAAATTAAACATCAAAAAATTTTAAGTGCTATAATGTATTCTGATTAATGAACCTCTAAATTCAATGTGGTAGAATTCATTTTTTTAAACTTTTACTTTTTAATATAATTTTATTTTTTAAGATACAGTCTTGCTCTGTCACCCAGGTTGGAGCACACTGGCATGATCAGGGCACACTGCAGCCTTGATCTCCTGGGCGCCAGTGATTCTCCCGCCTCAGCCTCCCAAGTAGCTGGAACTACAAGTGTGAACCACCATGCCTGGCTAGTTATTTTTGTATTTTTTGTAGAGATGGGATCTCACTTTGTTGCTCAGGCTGGTCTCAATCTCCTGAGCTCAAGCAATCTGCTTGCCTCAGCCTCTCAAAGTGCTGGGATTATGGACGTGAGCCACCGCACCTGGCCTAGAATTTGATTTTTAACATATGCCAATAAACAAAGCAAAGATGACATATTAACAGGTGGGGGATGGCTGTTTCCACACATACAACCAAATGTAGGGTATCTAGTAGTGGTTCTACATACACAACCAAATGCAATGAATCTGGAGGTAGGGGACGGCTCTTTCTAAGGCACACAACCAAATGCAATGAATGTCAGAACAAAAAAGAATTCAGTTTTTCAAGTAAGTAAACTAAACAAAAAGGCCTGTCAGTGTAAGTGAACGAATTTTATATGTTTATCAATTGATCTGTTCCCATTTTGCCTTCCACCATAAATAAAAGCTCCCTGAGTCCTCCCCAGAAACTGAGCAGATGCTAACGCCATGCTTGTACAGACTGCAGAACTGTGAGGGAATTAAATGTCTTTTCTTTATAAATTTAAAAAAAAATTAAGTTCAAGAGAGTGTCACTTATACAGAAACATGTATTACTCAGGCTGTTAGCAACTTTCACTTAACTCCATAGTAGCTTTAAAAACCATTTTAAGTTTCCTAAGGAAAATGGATAATTATGATTAATGGAAACACACAAATAATATAAAATAAATGGTATCAAACCTTATAAAAGGCCTGAAGATCTCCAATAGGAGGTGAAACTGTTAGATAATCTGGAAATTTATCTTGCAGGTGAGCGATGAGCATGCCAAACTGGGTCCCCCAGTCTCCTACATGATTTAACCTAACACCAATCAGAGAATATAAAATCATTTTTCAAATCATAAAGATGGTTAAGTTAAATTAGAGGAACTATCCATTAGGAACCACTAACATTTACATGCCAGTACATCACCATTTAGTAATATCTGTTTACTTGGTTGTTTCTTCAACTGGTCTGCAAACTCCGTAAGAGACGAAAACTATGTCTGTTACTTTCAGCTCTACATACTCAAGTAATAGAGGCTGCACATGGTGGGCATCCAGAATTTGCTGAATGAATGTGTTTTCTGTCAGCGGACTATAATCTGTTTATTTTGTAGCTAACTGAAACAATGACAGCTTGGCCAATGTTGGTTACTCCCACAATTTTATGAAAACTTAACATTTTTTTTTTTTTTTTTTGAGACTGAGTCTCACTTTGTCGCCCAGGCTGGAGTGCAGTGGCATCATCTCAGCTCACTGCAAGCTCCGCCTCCTGGGTTCACACCATTCTCCTGCCTCAGTCTCCGAGCAGCTGGGACTACAGGCACGCACCACCACACCCGGCTAATTTTTTGTATTTTTAGTAGAGACGGGTTTTCACCGTGTTAGCCAGGATGGTCTCGATCTCCTGACTTCGTGATCCGCCCGCCTCGGCCTCCCAAAGTGCTGGGATTACAGGTGTGAGACACCGCGCCTGGCAAAAACTTAACATTTTAACCATTATCTTAGTATAATTTAGACCAATGGTTCCCAAATATCAATGGATTCTTGAAAATATATGTTGAGGCTGAGTGGTGGCTCACGCCTGTAATCTCAGCACTATGGGAGGCGGAGGCAGGCGGATCACTTGAGGTTAGGAGTTCGAGACTAGCCTGGCTAACATGGTGAAACCCCGTCTCTACTAAAAATACAAAAAATTAGCCGGGCGTGGTGGCGGGCACCTATAGTCCCAGCTACTCAGGAGGATGAGGAAGGAGAATGGTGTGAACCCCGGAGGCAGAGCTTGCAGTGAGCCAAGATTGTGCTACTGCACTCCAGCCTGGGCGACAGAGTGAGACTGCCTCCAAAAAAAAAAAAAAAAAAAAAAAAGAAAATATACGTTGATCCTACCTACTTCTCTCCCTCTCTGCTTTTATCTAATCCAAACCACCAGATCATCTTTCAAGTGGATCATGATGATAGCCTCTCGACTTACTGTTTTCGTTTTTTTGTTTTGTTTTTTTGACACAGAGTCTTGCTCTGTTGCCCAGGCTGGAGTGCAGTAGCGCGATCTCAGCTCACTGCAATCTCTGCCTCCCAGGTCCAAACAATTCTCCCGCCTCAGCTTCCCAAGTAGCTAGGATTACAGGTGTGTGCCACACGTCCAGCTAATTTTTGTATTTTTAGTAGATATGGGGTTTCATTGTGTTGCCAGGTTGGTCTCAAACTCCTGACTTCGTGATCCATCCCCCCTTGGCCTCCCAAAGTGCTGGGATTACAGACATGAGCCACTATGCCCAGCCTAACACTTACTGTTATAGTCTCCCTTCTTTGCCTAGCTTCCTCACAGTAACTAACCACAGTAATCTTTTATTTGTATTATTTTAAAAATTTTTATTTCTTTAAAAATATAAAAAATAGAGACAGGTTCTCGCTATGTTGCCCAAGCTGGCCTAGAACTCCTGGCCAAGGTAGTGATCCTCCCACGTTGGCCTCCCAAAGTGCTGGGATTATAGGTGTGAGCCACAGTACCCAGACTAATCTTTAATTTGATCACCCTGTTCACAAACTAAAACTCTCTAATAGCTTCCCAGGACACTTAGAATAAAATCTCAATTGCCTATCATAGCTTACAAGGCCCAAAATACCCTGTTCCTTTACTACTTCTCTCCCTACTAGTATATAAACTCCTTGCATACAAGAGGTCCTCAAGAAGCATTTGTAGAATGAATGAATGTGTTTTATCCTTGGTTCCACTAAGAGTCTAAAAAAAAAAAAATAGTAAAAAAGGTTCAGAGGAGAGGCTCAGGACGTATTTTAAAAGTTTACTGGGTGACTGTAAAGAACTAAGCTGACGAACCACTGATTTGGTTGAACGTTCTTTCTTGAGTGAGACATTTCATGTTCTATAGAATTTTCCAAACAAGAAAATAAGGAAAGAGTACAGTAAGCGAGGCAAGAGCACATACCTGAGCACATCATACCCAGCAAATTCAAAGAGGCGGCTTACACTCTCTCCTATGATAGTTGACCTCAGGTGGCCTACATGCATCTCTTTAGCTATATTAGGGGAGGAAAAGTCAACTATAACCTGGGGTAGACAAGAAGAGAAAGGCTGTTAAGAGGGGCAAAAACATAAAGAGAGAAAGATTTTTTTAAGAGGAGCTTAAACGTTTTGTTCTAATGCATTCATTAATAACACATCTAATAACAAACTCAGACTTAAACACTAATTTGGGCTGTAATTCAACCATGTTTGATTTTATGAAGGATCTGCTTATATATATATATATATATATACACACACATTTTTTTTTTTTTTTTTTTTTTTTGAGACAGAATCTCGCTCTGTCGCCAGGCTGGAATGCAGTGGCGTGATCTCGGCTCACTGCAAGCTCCTCCTCCAGGGTTCACGCCATTCTCCTGCCTCAGCCTCCCAAGTAGCTGGGACTACAGGCGCCCACCACCACACCTGGCTAATTTTTTGTATTTTTGATCTGCCCACCTCGGCCTCCCAAAGTGCTGGGATTACAGGCTTGAGGCACCATGCCCGGCCCTGCTTGTATATTTTTAACTGAAAAAGAATCAAACTCATTTATACAAATTATCCACTCTATTTCACTGTTATCTGTGTATCAATTGGCTACCTCAAATGCCTTGTGGAATTCAGTGGAAAAAAAATCACACAACATGCTAGACCCAGGAGAAAGGCTACTTCATAAATGTTTATAATCTCAAATGTGAATGATTAAATTTCAATATAAAAAGTGAAATCCATTCCCAGTTTCAGCACTTTCCATGCAGTTCGTTTTTCTTTTTCTTTTTTAGAGATGAAGTCTCACTATATTGCCCAGGCTGAAGTGCAGTAGCTATTCACAGGTGCAATTGTAGCACACCTCAGCCTTGAATTTCTGGGCTCAAGTAATCCTCCTCCCTCAGTCTCCCTAGTAGCTAAGACTACAGGCACATACCACCATGCTTGGTTCCATGCAGTTCTAAGATACTAATATATTAATAGAAAACTGCACATATACCTTTTTATTCTCTCCCACAGCAGGTAGTTGAACTCCATTAACTAGCAGACTGGTCAATTGTTCTGATACAAAATCCTTTCTTAAGTGGACATTAATAAAACCTAATGGATAGAAGAGAAAAAAATATCTGATAGTGTCTTATCTTGAATAATCACTCACTCCTAAGGATTTGCTCCAGACGCTGACCTGGCTCTGGCAAAATTCTTCAGGATTCCAATACCAGTTGTGGCCTTGACTTAAGCTGTCTTGTAAGCTTCTGTCTCACCGTCTACTTCAAGCCTTCACGCTTCTCCTAAAAGCTTCCTACTTAACTCAGGGCCCTTTCCCTTTCAGCCTCTCAAGAGAAAACAGAAGGCCCTTGTGCTGAAGACTTATCTGCCATTATCTATCCTCATTTTGCTGATGAAAAACTGAATCACAGAGAGGCAAAGTAACTCATTCAAGGTAAGGCAGCTAAAAGCGGTAGCTGAGTCTAGATTAACAATTTCCTATATCACAATCCACAGTGCTCTCACCACCTTGTTCAGTATATAAATTTTAACCCTGTAATTAAAATGTGTGTTCTTTTATAACTTCAAAAAGGACTCATCTTCAATACAACTATTAAGAAGGATAACATGTCATACCAGGACCAGCAATTTCAACTTTTTCAATACATTCATTGTCTGGGAGGTGTTTGGTAATGTTTTCAGCAATTTCTCTTGGATTAACTTTCTGTTCCTTGGTTTTGAGCATCTACAACACAATATAAAACGATTCATTACACAACAGATTTCAGCAAGTTACTCGGAAATGCACACCTGACAAGGCACGAGATGCATTTTACATTAAGAACCATCAAAAGGCAGAAGCAGAGAAGTCCAATCACATTATGAATGACAGATTAAAGTATCAATAGTGCCAAGAGGAATAGAAAAGTGCCCAAACTACATGATCTCTATTTCCAAATACGTTACACACATACATACCTGGAACTTTTTTTTTTTTTTTTGAGTCTTGCTCTGTCACCCAGGCTGGAGTGCAGTGGCATGATCTTGGTTCACTGCAACCCCTGCCCCTGGGTTCAAGCAATTCTCCTGCCTCAGCCTCCCTAGTAGCTGGGATTACAACACCTCAAACTTTTTAATGATGACCTAACAAAGTCTACAGTTATGAAGCCTGGTTCCAGCATATTTACATTTCTAATTTTCAAGTCATGAAGGTGTGCAATATTCACACTTGAGAAATAAACAACACAATAAGACCTGGACTCTTCAGAGTAACCCTTTCCAATTCAGCAAAGAAAGGAAAACAGAAAGACCCAAGCCAGATGCAGTTAACCACAAACACATCAGACAATGCAGCTATTTAAAACGGGGAACTCCTCTGCTTGAAGGTGAATATATAACCCTGGCTCAAAGATCACAGTTACATCAAATATTTAATTGGGATGCCAACTGGTAAATGGTTTATTTTAATTTTTCACCTCCCAACACTCATCAACAACAGACAGCAATCCTGGACACAGCAGGAGGGAAATACCTAAACGAAAGAGTACCAATGATTGCCCTTAAATATTGAGAAGACATATAAAATTTAACCAAAACTTAAAAATTGTGCCTAAAAAAAAGTTAACACATATACCCCCCCAACATTTCTCAAGTTTTTCAAACTGTGGCAAATGTCCTTTTCACTAAGGACACAACTTGCAATAGTATTACTTCTGTAAATGATAATGATGATAATAATACTTTAAAAAAATCAAATAACCAGGAGTCATGACAATACATCACCTGAGAAATACCCATAGCACTATTACACTGATAGTCTCCAAACTTGGGCTGCTGACTTGGTGTCACTAGCAGAGGAGGATTTTCCAAATCTGGATATGCAGCCTTAATTGCATGACCAAATACCTCTTGTAGGCGGCTATTAATGTTAATCATATTTTTAGTTGGTTTGTTCCTTTCTGCCTGAAGACTCTGTAGGAAAAGAAGGGAAACATGTCAACAATGTACTACACCATCATCATACACGATTTCTCCAAGTATTCTGAGTATAAACCTTCAAATATCTTAAGAACCAAAAGAGAAAACGTACTCATAGTGTGAGGCCCTCACATCTGGGATTTTCTAAGACATGTAGCAGGACAAGTCCATCCCACGGCATCTAAGACATCCATGGGAAATGCCCTGAGGTCTTACTTTTTGCATTTGTTTTAGCAGAACAGAGACTGGGAGGAGGGAGTTAAAAGGGCTGACGGAAACCTTTTCTCAGCTTCTCCAAATCTGAGAAAATAATATAATTTCACAGCAAATATTGGAAGTGAAAACTCAATGGGCAAAAAACAAATAAAAAAATACATGATGTCCATCAAAATGTTGACCTGTTCAAGGCATGAAATAAAAGGGAGCAAAGTAGGTAATATCAATATACCAGAAAAGCCAGTAGTTCTGTTTTACTGTTATTAGACCTACTACCTCCTGTTTTCCCATGGAATATAGTCACTGAAGATGGCATATAATTCTATTACTGCACTTATCATGCCCTCACAAAACTATCTGTCTCTATCACTAGACTGCTGCATGCACAGAAAGTGCTTAATTCATGGCTCTCTTCCCTGGCACCTAGCACTACTTGCCATACAGCAGTTTAGCAAAAAAAAAGAAAAAAAAAAAAAAGTCAATGAACAAATATGCTTTTAATGAAAGATAAATATATTGCCTATACGCCTTTATGTTCATCAATTTTATGTTCACCAAAATGTTCATCACAATTTTATGCTCATCATAAATTTATATTCATCAAAATGTCAACAGTATAAAATAATGACAATAACAAAAGTTAATATTTGAGTATGTAATGTCAAGATTTGAACCAAATGCTTTATTTATATGCATTATCTTATTCCATCTACATAATAAAATTGAGTTTGTTACTATTAACACTATTTCTATGTGGGCTACAGATAAGTAACTTGCCAAAGACAAGACAGAATAAGTGGAAAAGGCCAGATTCAAACTCAGGTCTATTGGAATGGAGTCCAAGTTTTATGCTCCCCTCATCATCCCTCTCTATCATATGAAGAAATTATATTCTTAAATTCACTAAAAAACCTGATTTCAAGTTTGTAGCTAATCAATAACTGACTCCTCTCTGTGGTAACATACTTAAGGAAGATACGTTTTTACCAATCTAAAGATTTCCAACAGCAAATACCAAACTTAATTGGATATGATCCTTTTTTCTTCTTTGTTGGGGGTAAGAGACAAGATCTCACTGTGCACTCTGCTGAGGCTGAAGTGCAGTGGCATGACATCTCACTATAACGTTGAACTCCTGGGTTCAAGAGATCCTCCTGCCTTGGCCTCCCAAAGCATTGGGATTACTGGTGTGAGCCACCACACTTGGCCTAGATTATGATCTTATACCCAAAACCTGCTATAATAAATGTCAAATTTTTGTTTATTTTTATTTTTTTGAGACCGGGTCTCGCTCTGTTGCTCAGGCTGGAGTGCAGTGGCACGATTTTGGCTCAAGTCATGAAGGTGTGCCTCCTGGGTTTAAGTGATTCTCATGCCTCAGCCTTCCAAGCAGCTGGAATTATAGGCCTGCGCCACCATCCCTGGCTAATTTTTGTATTTTTAGTAGAGACAGGGTTTTGCCATGTTGCCCGGGCTGGTCTCGAACTCCTGACTTCAGGTGATCCACCTGCCTCGGCCTCCCAAAGAGCTGGGATTGCAGGTGTGAGCCACTGCGCCTGGCCTCAATTTTTTATTTTTAAAGGATAGGAGTACCACTATGTACATATGTATGTGTGTGTACCTATACACACGAAATCTGTGCTTAAGTTTTGGCACTATGCAAATTACTATCTGATTATAATCAATTCAACAAGTTGTCTCTACCAGTGAACCAGGGCGAGACAACAGGGTGAATGGCCATCACACACAGTACTTTATTACTCTGTGGTTTTTAGTTCTGCTGTGTACCTTGTGTTCAGTTGCTCATTCAGTAGGGCAAAGTATTTGTCAAAGAACCAATATACCTTCCACAATACACTAAGAGCATTCTCCTATCTATATGAGAGCTAATTTGCATTACAGGAAAAAATGTGTTGTAGAATATGCTGTCCTTCTATCCCAGCTACTTGGGAGGCTGAAGTGGGAGGATTACTTGAGGTGAGGAGTTCCAGAAAATACTGTACTTCCTTTTGTATCTTTTCCCTTATAGTCTCTAGCATATATTAGACATTTAATAATACTTTTGAATTAAAATAAATATAACAGAATTAAACATATATAAGTGCAGAATAAATGACATAACGAGAAAGGTGAGATTCTTTTGAGAAAATTCTATGGAAAAGGAATTTTGTGATTTTAGAAGACTCAAAGACAAGCACAGAAGATTACATATAGGTAGTATGAGACTCCAGCCTAGCAGACCACATATAGGTAATATGGATGCTGGGCGTGGTGGCTCACGCCTGTAATCCCAGCACTTTGGGAAGCTGAGACGGGCAGATCACCTGAGGTCGGGGGTTCGAGACCAGCCTGACGAACATGGAGAAACCCTGTCTCTACTAAAAATACAAAATTAACCAGGTATGGTGGTGCATGCCTGTAGTCTCAGCTACTCAGGAGGCTGAGGCAGGAGAATCACTTGAACCCGGGAGGCAGAGGTTGCGGTGAGCCGAGATCGTGCCATTGCACACCAGCCTGGGCAACAAGAGCGAGACTCTGTCTCAAAAAAATAAAAAAATAAAAATAGGTAATATGAGAGACGTCATGGGAGTGGGGCACATAGAGTCTAAGGTGAGTAAATGGAATCAATCAGCTTTGGGAAAAGGATGTAATGCCAGCGCAGTTTGTCTGAGAGTAATATATACACATGGGAGAATTGTTATGGGAATGAGGTCAACACTCTGGGATATGTCATCACCAAATATTAAAGGCAGACCAAAAAACTGCAGCAAGTTCTTTTTTTTTTTTGAGACGGAGTCTTGCTCTGTTGCCCAGGCTGAAGTGCAGTGGCGTGATCTCAGCTCCGCCTCCTGGGTTCACACCATTCTCCTGCTTCAGCCTCCCAAGTAGCTGGGACTACAGGCGCCCGCCACCACGCCTGGCTAATTTTTTGCAATTTTTAGTAGAGACGGGGTTTCGCCATGTTAGCCAGGATGGTCTCGATATCCTGACCTCGTGATCCGCTTGCCTCAGCCTCCCAAAGTGCTGGGATTACAGGAGTGAGCCACTGCACCTGGCCGTAAGTTCATTTTTTTAAAACAAAATTGATAAACACTGTTAAATTATGAAACCATTAAATAAATATAGCACAAGCTTCACAGGGAAAAAAAAAAGTTTTGAAATACCAGGTGGAAACAAACCCAAATGATTATGTAAGATATAAAAATAAAACTGTAAAATAACCAACTTAGGGCAGAGAAAATATGTAGGTGTATTTTCAAATATTTCCTTTATGATAGAGGAAATGATTTAAAAATCAAATATGTTTTTTTAAAAAAGGCATGGGCATAAGCTGTTGAAAGAAATGCCTCAACCTTGCTGGGTGCGGTGGGTCATACTTGTAATTCCAACACTTTGGGAGGCCAAGACAGGGAGGGTTGCTTGAGGCCAGGAATTCTGAGGCCAGGCTGGTCAACACAGCAAGACCCCATCTCTATTTTAAAAAAAAAAAATTAGCTGGATGTGGTGGCACACACCTGTAGTCCCAGCCACTCAAGAGGCTGCGGTGGGATGACTGCTTAAGCCTGAAGGTTGAGGCTGCACTGAGCTGTGATCATGCCACCATACTCTGGCCTGAGTGACTGACACCCTGTCTCAAAAAATAATAAATAAATTTTTAAAAAGAAATGCCTCACCCTACCTAAAGTTAGCCAAATAGCAGGATGAAACATTTCAAAGAGTCCTGAAGGACAGGACAACACCAACTTCTCACTATTTGCACCAACTACCTCAGTCCTAAGTTGTCTAATGCAGGGAAAAGAATAGGGTTTCTATGCTCCTTTTTCCAAATTCCATAGGATATACTTCCAGAATCTTTGGTAACAAAGGCTTTAAAAAAGGTATAATAATTCAAACTGGAGGATAAAACTGGAACCCAAAGTACTCACCTTTTGAAGAATATTCAGTCGATACTTCAATTTTAAATTTTCTTCTTGTAACTGCTCCAAATTTGGAGAAGCTCCTAAACAGCCACAGTTTTTCAACCGGTCAATTTCAGCAGTCAGAGATTTAATCTCTTCTTCCTATGGAAAAAAAGCACTTTTTTCAGTCCATAAACTTACTTCCACATTTCCCCTCTCTAGCAAGGCATGGCATAGACCATGGGAATCATTAATGTTCCCTCTGATGAGCTGTGTTTTTTTCTCCTCTGAGACTTTTGCTGATGTTAGCATATTATCCTTAATAAGAAAATACTAGCCAGGCATGGTGGCTCACGCCTGTAATCCCAGCACTTTGGGAGGCCTAGGCAGGCGGATCATTTGAGGTCAAGAGTTCAAGACCAGCGTGGCCAACACAGCGAAACGCTGTCTCTGCTAAAAATACAAAAATTAGCTAGGCATGGTGGCCCATGTCTGTAATCCCAGCTACTTGGGAGGCTGAGGCTGGAGAATTGACTGAATCCTAGAGGTGGAGGTTGCAGTGAGCCAAGATCATGCCACTGCATTCCAGCCTGCTTGACACAGCAAGACTCTTGTCTCCAAAAAAAAAAAAAAAAAGAAAAAAAGAAAGGAAAAGAAAAAGAAAATATTAAGCACACACACATGTGTGTTGGGAGACCGGAATAGGAGTAAGTACATAACGGGATGTCTCATATCCTTAGTTTTTTTCTTTGGCTCGATAAGACACTCTGACTTAGCAAGAGTACTTAGTTAAGTTTCAGGTTGACCAACATGCTTTTATTCCCAAATCTTCTCACTTGGGACTCTTAAAAAACCAAATGTCTTCTGTCACATTCAAAATAGCTCGAGGGTCTGCCTTTCACCCTTTCTCGGACTAAACAATTTGCCCATTTCTTCCTATTTCCAGTGTGTCCGGTCCTAGACTAGACCAGACAAGGCTTTGTACTTTAACACCTAAAACTAAAGACATGTCAATTCAGAAAGAAAGAAGGCTTCCAACTTAACTGCAAAACTCAGGGGAAGATTCCTCACCTGCAATTTCAGATTACTTACTGGGAGATAGCTACAGCCAAAACCAAATTGCCATAAATGAGCATACAGTATGTTCCAGGAGCTGAGCTTAACACTTTTCAGAAATTATCTTCACGATTATCACAACCCAGTGAGGCAGTCCTTATAACTTCATACCGATAAACACATTGCTCAGAAATGTGAAGACCTTGCCAATTTACTCGACTAACTTGTACTCTGTGACTGCTGATTAAGTATAAAGCTGTAACAGGATACAGTGCTGTGAACTATCTTCCTACCATTCCTCCCCATCTGGGCATAAAAGGTAATGGTATTGTTCCGCTTCCACTTTTATATGGTGTGGCTGCTCCTTCCCGACCAATGTTGAGGGCACAGAGCAAACTCCGTTGGTCTGATAGTAAATCACCCCATGGGCTTACTAGGAATCCTCTCGCTCAGTAACCCGGAAAGAACTGCGGCTGAGCTGCAAACCAAGACCCAGAGCTCTGAACGTATTCCCTCCCGCCTTGTCTATCTCCCCGCATCCCCTGAGAAAGCACGTGTGTATGCAGAAGAGGTGGATTGTGGGGAGGTAATCGTTCTGAACATGCCAGGTTCCAGCCCACCGAAGACGCTGGCTTGGGGGAGGCCTGGGAGAGTGTGGGGACCTTCCATTACGCTGAAAATCACAGTCACACGGGCTTTGGAATGATGGGTGCTTCCTCTCCCAACCCTTCCTGCTCCCACAGGGACCCTGCCGCCCCACTCTGAGACGACCAGGATGGTCCTCGTCTAGCTGTCCCGCCCCCGAAGCCGCTTGGGCAGAAGCCAGAGCCTGTTCCATCTCTTTCAGGCTTTCCCGCCGGTCTCCTGCGTCCAAACCTGCTGCAGCAGCCGCGCGGAGCACCGAGAAACCAATCCGTCCATCCTCCCGTCAGCGTCTCACTCGCCAAGTGGACGGAAGCGGAAACGGTCAGTCTCTCCCGGAAGCGGAAACCCCCTCCGGTCCGCTGTCCCGCCGGACTGGGTGCTGGCGCCTCTGCTGCCTCCTGGCGGGATCCAGGAGACACTGCGGGGAGAACCCGCGAGGGTGTCGTCCGGGAGCAAGGCTGCAGCTCAGGGACATTTCGGCGAGGGGAGAGGAATTGAGCAGAGACGAGCCAGAGCTGCACTGTGCTTGGATAGACTAGGACAGGCGCTGACCTAGAGCTTCTGGCTCTCAAAGGCCTCACTTTGCCCCTCTATGAAATGGGCACAAAACTAACAAATCCATTCATTTGTTCAACAAGCATTTATTGTGTACTTTAAAATGCCAGACACTATTCTAGGCTCTGGGGGCAGAGAGAAAACAAAACAGACAAGATCTCCCCTCTCATGGCAGATACATTTTAGAATGGAGAGATAAAATAGACGAAAAAAGGCAATAAATCTCAGGTAGTTTTAATGGCTAGGAAGGCAATGTGATACAGTGACTTGGGTCAGAGAAGACATCTCTAAGCAAGTGACATTTAAGTTAAAATCTTATTTATTTTTCCAGTTTTATTGAGGTATAATTGACGAATAAAGATTGTATATCATAACAATGTACAACATAATGTTTTGATATATGTATACATTCTGAAATGATTACCACAATCAATTAACATAACCTTCATCTCATACAGTTATCATTTGCATGTGTGTGTGTGTGCATGTCTGTGTGTGTGGTGTGAACATTTAGGATTTATTCTCATCCTGGGAAACAGCTAAGACCCCCTCTCTACAAAAAAATGGAAAAATAGCCGGGCATGGTGGCATGTGCCTGTAGTCCCTGATATGTGGGAGGCTGAGGTGGGAGGATCACTTGAGCCCAAGAATTTGAGGCTGCAGTGAGCCATGATCATGCCACTGTACTCCTGTCTGGGTGACAGAGTGAGACGTTTTCTCTCTATTAAAAAAAAAAAAAAAAACTGCAAGTATACAATATACATTACATCTCTAGAATTTATTCATCCTGCCTAACTGAAACTTTGTAACTTTGAGCAACATCTCCCATCTTTCCTACCTCCGCAGCCCTCACAACCACCATTCTATGCTCTGCTTCTAAGAATCTGAATTTTTTAGATTACTCATATACATGAGCTAATGTAGTGTTTGTCTTTCTGTGCCTGGCTTATTGCACCAACATAATGCTCTCCAGGTTCATCTATGTTGTCACCCATAACAGGGTTTTCTTTTGTAAGGCTGAATAATATTTCATTTTATATCTATTGAGTTAAAATTATAAACAGCAAACCTGGGATATATGTTCTAAGTATCTTGTTCACTCTTCTCTATGACTCCAGAACTTAGAAAGTAGCACTCTCTAAACATTTTCACTTCTGTGCCTCATAAAAGTATTTTAAAAATTCTTATCCCAGTGTATACTTTTAAAAGTTGACATCAGGCTATGCACAGTGGCACATGTCTGGAATTCTAGCACTTTGGGAGGCTGAGGCAGGCAGATTGCTTAAGCCCAGGAGTCCAAGATCAGCCTGGGAAAAATGGTGAAACATCGTCTCTACCCAAACCTAACAAAAACAAGAAATGGGGAAAGGATTCCCTATTTAATAAATGGTGCTGGGAAAACTGGCTAGCCATAAGTAGAAAGCTGAAACTGGATCCCTTCCTTACACCTTATGCAAAAATTAATTCATGATGGATTAGAGACTTAAATGTTAGACCTAAAACCATAAAAACCCTAGAAGAAAACCTAGGTAATACCATTCAGGACATAGGCATGGGCGAGGACTTCATGACTAAAACACCAAAAGCAATGGCAACAAAAGCCAAAATTGACAAATGGGGTCTAATTAAACTAAAGAGTTTCTGCACAGCAAAAGAAACTATCATCAGAGTGAACAAGCAACCTACAGCATGGGAGAAAATTTTTGCAATCTACTCATCTGACAAAGGGCTAATATCCAGAACTTACAAATAACTCAAACAAATTTACAAGAAAAAAACAAACAACCCCATCAAAAAGTGGGCAAAGGATTTGAACAGACACTTCTCAAAAGAAGACATTTATGCAGCCAACAGACACATGAAAGAATGCTCATCATCACTGGTCATCAGAGAAATGCAAATCAAAACCACAATGAACCATCTCACACTAGTTAGAATGGCAATCATTAAAAAGTCAGGAAACAACAGGTGCTGGAGAGGATGTGGAGAAATCGGAACACTTTTACACTGTTGGTGGAACTGTAAACTAGTTCAACCATTGTGGAAGACAGTGTGGCGATTCCTCAAGGATCTAGAACTAGATATACCATTTGACCCAGCCATCCTATTACTGGGTATATACCCAAAGGATTATAAATCATGCTGCTATAAAGACACATGCACACGTATGTTTATTGTGGCACTATTCACAATAGCAAAGACTTGGGACCAACCCAAATGTCTATCAATGACAGACTGGATTAAGAAAATGTGGCACATATACATCATAGAATGCTATGCAGCCATAAAAAAGGGTGAGTTCATGTCCTTTGTAGGGACATGGATGCAGCTGGAAACCATCATTCTCAGCAAACTATCGCAAGAACAGAAAACCAAACACTGCATGTTCTTACTCATAGGTGGGAATTGAACAATGAGAACACTTGGACACAGGAAGGGGAACATCACACACCAGGGCCTGTTGTGGGGTGGAGGAAGCTGGGGAGGGATAGCATTAGGAGATATACCTAATGTAAATGATGAGTTAATGGGTGCAGCACACCAACATGGCACATGTATACATATGTAACAACCTGCACGTTGTGAACACGTACCCTAGAACTTAAAGTATAATAAATAAAATAAAATAAAAATAAAAATAAAAACACCATCTCTACCAAAAATACAAAACATTAGCCAGGCATGGTGGTACACACCTGTAGTCCCAGCTATATAAGAGGCTTAGGAGGATTGTTTAAACCCAAAAGTTTGAGGCTGCAATGAGCCATGATCCGGCCACTGCACTCCAGCCTGGGCAATGGAGTGAGACTCTGTCTCAAAAAAAAAAAAAGAAAAGAAAAAGACATCTAAAAACTCGTTTCACAACTTCTGGAAATGGATTATTTTCTGGCATGATGTTTCATAAGTGTTCTCACTGTATTTTCATCAAAACTGTGGATTTGCAAGTTTAGCTTGTCCAATTTATGGAAAGTGTCGGCCATATTGTTTCATTGGCAAAGCCAGTCCTCTTTGTCTAATTAAATAATCCAAATTATTTTACTTAATTTTTAACAAGTTTAAAGTTTGCCTTTATCTTTTTTCTTTTTAAATTAATTAATTAATTAATTTTACCCAGAACTATATAAACTATCCTTTATTTTGCAAATCAAATGTTAATATACCAGTCTTTCCTTATCCATGGGAGATACATTGCAACACCCCTCAGTGGATGACTGAAACCGTGAATAGTATCAAGCTCTATATATATAGTATGTTTTTTCAATCCAGTAATTCAGAGGGCTAATAAGTGACTAATGGGTGGGTAGTGTAGACAGCATGAATTTGTTGGGCAAGGGGGGATTCCCATCCTGGGCAAGAGAGAATGGGATGGTGGAGATTTCATCATGCTACCAAGAAATGGCATGCATTTTAAGACCTGTGAATTGGTTTTTTCTGAATTGGTTATTTAAACCTATGAATTGGTAATTTTCCACTTAATATCTTTTGAACTGTGGTTGACAATAAGTAGCTAATATATATTGAGCACATAAGTGGGTGGGGGGGGACTACTGTACATGTTCCTGTAATGGTCTTTGCAAAATTATGACAGTAAGAGAAATTTGACATCTTGCTTCTAGCCTCACAGGCTGCCTGTCTTTGCTCATTTCTGGGCGTGGGCCAAGCTAACTTTGGGGAAAATTTAGTTTATAGTTGAAATGATAATAGCTCTTCCCCAAAATCGAATTGTTCTTGTAAAACTAATGCAAGGCAACTAAGCTATGAGGATGAGAGGGGCTTGAATTCTAAATAATTGTCAGCCATTATTCTGGAGGTCAGATATGCAACTTCCGCAATAACTCTTGCAGATAACATTACTACTGTAGAACCTAAGATTGGCCTTTTGAGATGTCTTTTCAGGTTTTCGCATTTCTGACAACTGGGTGGCCCCACCTGGATCCACCAGTCAGTCCTGGGGCCCCCTACCCAGGAACTGATTCAGCATAAGAGGACAGCTTTGATTTCTTTTCTTTTTTTTTTTTTTTGAGATAGAGTCTCACTCTGTCGCCCAGGCTGGAGTGCAGTGGCGCAATCTCAGCTCACTGCAAGCTCTGCCTCCCGGGTTCCCGCCATTCTGCTGCCTCAGCCTCCCGAGTAGCTGGGACTACAGGCGCCCGCCACCACGCCCGGCTAATTTTTTGTATTTTTCGTAGAGACGGGGTTTCACCGTGTTAGCCAGGATGGTCTCGATCTCCTGACCTCGTGATCCGCCAGCCTCGGCCTCCCAAAGTGCTGGGATTATAGGCGTGAGCCACCGCACCCGGCCCAGCTTTGATTTCTTATGATTTCATCTCCAACTCAATCAGCGTGTTCCCTACCCTACCCCACTGCCCAGCAAACTATCTTTGAAAAACCCCTAACCTGGGAGCTTTCAGGAAGATTGATTTGAGTAATAACTCCGTCTCTTACACAGTGTGGCCAGACTTGTGTCAATTAAACTCTTTCTTTATTGCAATGCCATGGTACCCATGAGTCAATTTTGTTGTGCAGCAGGCAGGAAGAATCCACTGGGTGGTTACATCACGCTGACACCTTATTTCTAAGTTCTGAGAAAGATGGAGGGAGGGATGGAAAAGCTAGTGGATAGACAAAGGGATAGGCAGATAGATCTCTATCTTCGAGATAAAGGAGGAAATAAAAATAATCAATCATTTTACTAAGCCCTCTTTGTTCAGCACTCAAGGATACACCCTTTGGAAAAATATGCTCTTGAAAATGTCCCTTGTTCAATTCCTGTTAGTTTACACTCAGGCAATGTGGAGTCCTAATTTAGGGAGGGGGAGTCGGGCTGGTGGGAATGAAGGAAAGCAGAAAGAGAAAGCAGATAAGCTATAAGTCTACTTTTCTTCGTGGTTCAGGGTACGTAGTCCTCCTGTGCAAATAACTGACAATCTCCCTGCACCCAGCTATTACCAGACACCTCAGCTGATAGAAATATGCAAGTTAGCTCACCTCAACCTCAGCATTATCAGTACTGCACAAAGCCCTCTTAACACACAGCCTAAGCACCATTCTATCAAATCACCAGCAAACTCTGGCTTCCTGGCAGTCAGCTCCTCTCTTGCTGATTTGCTTGTTGCACCCTTGCAACATACTTTCCTGCTTTGTCTAATAATCTGCCTTTCTTGCTGGGTGCGGTGGCTCAACCCTGTAAACCCAGCATTTTGGGAGGCCGAGACGGGCGGATCATGAGGTCAGGAGATCGAGACCATCCTGGCTAACATGGTGAAACCCTGTCTCTACTAAAAAATACAAAAAATTAGCCGGGCGAGGTGGCGGCGCCTGTAGTCCCAGCTACTCGGGAGGCTGAGGCAGGAGAATGGCGTGAACCCGGGAGGCGGAGC